AGGGGTCAGGGCTTTTACATCTTTGCATGTCTAGGTGGTATGCGGTTTCGCAGAAACCCTGAGTGGAAAGGAAGCCTGAAGCCTAAATCTTGGGTACTGCCCCCCCTCAGTAACAGTTGGATAATAATTAATATGGCTATATATAGCTCATAATAGGACCCCTAACATAGACTGTTACTGGGTGGAGGCAGTACCCAAGGTTTAGGGTGTATGGCTTCAACCAACCTTCGTATGCTACCCCCCTTTGGGTTCCCCCGAATATTACATTTCGTTGAGGCAACTAAAGGGGGGAACCTTAAGGGGGTTAGTACCCAGGCAGCAGGCTAAGGAGTTCAGAGGTCTAGGGTTGGTCGTGGCTCCTTACTTTACATCTTTATGGACTCATTGCAAGCGTTTTCTCAAGATATCCTTCAGTTGCCGATTGCCAATGCTCGAGACTCCATACACACTCTAAACCCTAAACCCCAAACCCGGCGGATACACAAGGGGACAATAGGAGATGAAAGGTAAAGGGTCCCTGCCTTCATTTGGTTTCAAGAAGCTCCCACGTATATGCAGAGTAATGAGACCCCAATGTAGACCATGTAGTGCTATTGTAATCCTCATTATGAGGTACCCGGCCCCCAATTTTGAAAACCTTAAACCTTACACATCCCTATACAAGCCCTGTATCGCCTACCCCTAGGCCCCTAGGGCCCCTAATTTTGGGAACGCTCAAAAGAGGCTTTAAGTCTAGGGGTATAAAGCTCTGGTATCCTGTTATAACCCGGAATGGAGAATGTCAAGCGGCTTGTCTGTCGTGGCATCCTGAGGCAGACCACAAAAAGGATATTACCATCTCAGGGTGTCTGCTGTAGCGTCGGGTTTAAGGCTTAGGGTTTTAGGGCTTAGGGTTGGGCGTCTAGGGTTTTAGGGGCAAGGTGGATTAACAAATAAGTGGATATTGCAACCCCTTAGTAACCTTTCTAGGAATCAATCTGCTTATTCTATTGATCCTCGTCATTAACCTACGAATTAAGCCTGTAGCCTCCAGAATCAAGGTCCTGTTTCTGCACGCCCGGAAGTACTACCCAACTTATTCCTGCAAAGTACGGCACAATAGCAACACAAGTAGCATCACGGGCCCAACATGACCATTGTTGCAGTGGCCAAAGATGGAAAGCACATCAGGCAAACGACGAGACTCAACACAAGCCAACTATGAGAAGGAACGGAATAACATGCAGCCTAGCGTCTGGGAAAGTATGTATGTAGGACTCAGTTTATGCACGCGCCGAACACTGCAGGGGGGACACCTCGTGAGCCATAGTTCCAAACTCCTAGCATGCCCTTGAGGCTTGGGGTTGACGGTTTAGGGTTTGTTCTGGACAACTATCCCCTATGATTCTTCCCCTTCCTGGCACCCTGCCTCTCCCTCCGGCATTGCAGATGGTTGCAGGGCAGCGCTCGTTCGTTGAAATTTCAAGCCCCAAGCTGCCTAAATCCTTCAACTCCCCACCTCTCAAGCATATGAACCTCCATGGATACCCCAAAAAGGGCTCAAGTTTAGGCTAGGAAGCCTTTACCCAGAAAAGGTCAAAGTCTCTGACCGCTACCCTACTGGCTTCTTCAGCTTGACGAGCCACGGCCGGCAAGGTCTCTTTAGGGGTGTCCCTTAAAGGCGTTTTATGGGGGGTATATAGGGTTATATAGGGGTTATATACTGATATATAGGGATATATAGGGTTTAGCATTTCCCAAAATTAGGGGTACCTTTTTGGGGGTCCCAATAGTGACCGTGTAGGGTTTGCATCAGGAACCCAATGGGGATCCCAGGCAGGGAGCCCCGAGAATATGATAGGGCTAAATGGGAATAGAAGGACCCTGCTGGGTACAATCCTTGTTTGTTCTGAGGGTCCCTTGTTTGCGGTCCACATTAAAGGCTTTGATTGTTAGGGAGCCGGATGGAACAGACATTGGGAACTACATTTTAGGGTTTGGTTCTTGGGGTTGAGGGAATGTACAGGACAGTGGAGA